AAACCCTAATCTTCACAAAAGTAAATATATGAGTCATGGAGGTAGTTGGCATGCCTGCAGTGTGGATGTGACTGAGCCCATGACCATCTGCTGCAGCTGCAGTGTCAGTGCAGATCAAGCCCCTGGCCAGGCAGAGACTGGATCAAACCAAACCAAACCAAACCAAACCAAACCAAACCAAACCAAACCAAACCAAACCAAAGAGATAGAGTGGAGGAACAATAAGGAAGTTGAGCTGATTCCAAAGTGGGTGGCTTTTCAGAGTGTAGGAGGATGACTAAGAACATGTGTAAAATTCTTCCTGTGACTCAGGAGGTCCTCAGCAAAGATGAGTTATTTAGCTTTTTGTTGTTGTTAGTTTCCCATTCTCTGACACAAACATCCAGATTTTTTCTTGTTGTTTGTTTGTTTTTATGGAACCCAAGGCCCTGTCCTTGTCCATGCTGCACCCCAACCCCATCACCCAGCTTTCTGAACACAGCAAGAGAGAAGGTTTTAATTCTCCCTCTCAGAAGACCTGCCTCTTGCTGCCTCCACAAAGTTCAGGGTAATTATGACCAGTACACCAGCTGCAGCCACCAGGAGGTGAATCTAGACCATCAGAGGATGAAGACTTGGGTCCTGGAAACCCCCATCTTACTGACCTTTGTACGTGGGGACTTCTGTCTCCAATCCCTGGATTTCAATGGGCCGTAAGTGGTACCTTGGCAGCACATTACATTGCTAACAGCCTTACTGTCTGTGGTGACTGGCACCACAGACAATATGGAGGCAGGAACCAGCCCAGGGACCAAGTTGCCAAATGCGAGTATGGAAGTGTAGCTGTGTGTAAGTCAGGGGACCCAGAACTTAGCTTCTGTGTGTTTGGAGTGTTCAAAGGCATCAGATAGGGGCGGGATGCCGAGCTCAGATTGTCCTCCGTGCTATGCTACCCACTGAGCTCTAGACCTGCTTCTTCTAAATCAGCTCACTTTCTAAATTTTGCTTCCTAGGAATGAGACTCGCTGCTCCTAGGTGCTTCATGGACCGTGTCCTGAGCACCTGTATAGATGCTGTAACATAAGGGTGGAAGCTGGGTTCCCTGTCCTATCAATGGACCTGTGCTGACCTCCAGACTGTGCTTTGAGCCTGAGACCTGGTTTCAGGTGTAGATTGTGCATCCTTACCTAGAGAATAAGAGTTTTGCAAGACACAATACATACTTTGTTATGTCATTTTATATTTCTCAATTTTAACCAAAGCTGTGAAAACTGAGGAGGAAACAGAACACTCTAGAGAGATTAGATCAACTAAACTGGAAAGCTAGGAAAAGGCTTGTTGTGGCCAAGATTCAGCCAGTCTTGAGTAATACAGGAAACTAGGTGTGAGAACATACAGATTCCATTGTCTGTGCTGTATGTTTCTCAGAAATGAGACAGAAAACTTTTTGCTGCTCTTGTTGACATTTGACATTTGGAAACAGGTGATGGGGCTTTATTTCAATTTTGGTTGTCAAAATTTTTAAATATGTGTTATCAAAATCATCAACACTGCAAGAATGGGGTTCCTTTCAGACTTGGGGTAAACAGCAAATGGTCACAATATTGGGTGAGCATTTTAGCATGCCAAGATTATAGAAGAGTTTAAGCTGTATTCTTGATACAGGGTCTCACAGTCCGCACAGCTCTTCCTGGCTTCAAGTTTGATATCTTTTTAAACCTTCGCCACCTTCTCCATCAAATGGAAAAGCCCTAACTTTTGATTTAGGGATGGGGTGATGGTATAAGCACTGCATACAGTGCATGAGTAACCCACACACTGACCCATAACAGCCCGCTCCTGATTTTGAAATAACATAATAAACAATAAATTTAGATAGATTTTCCCATCAGAAATCAGAGATCCAGACTTTTTTGTTTTGTTTTTACTCTGCGGCTCCTCCATTCTAATACAATATTGCTGAGGCTAAAACCCTGCCTTTCTCTGGATCCAGGCCCAGTTCAGCTGGTTGAGACACTGTCCACTGAATAAAAGATGGCACAGGATCATTCTAAGCAGCCAGGAAACAAAGAGGGCCATATCCAGGAACCTGAGGGGTCAGGTGGGCCCTTGACAACAGCTGCTATCAGAGAAAGAAGGCAACTTGGCCAAGCAGCCCCAAGAAGGAAAAGGGCAGATCTGGGGGCAAAGGACACCTCTAAAAAGTAGAATCTTGGGACTTGGGGGAAGAAGGCAGAAGCCAGATGGCATAGAAAGAAACCGAAAGAGCAGGGAAGCAATACTCTCACCCCAACAGCAATGCTGCTGCTGGTATCAGGAACAGGCAGGCGAGGAGAAATTGAAGACCATGAAGGACTGTGCTCTAGGGAAGGGTCAGGCATGGGGATTCAGTGCTGGTACCCAAAAGCTCCGATCTAGCCAGTGCAGTACGGGACGCAAAGGGGACCGTGGGCTTAAGAGCCGCCAACCTGACCAGCCCGCCCATTAGTGATCTGCGCATGCGTGGCCACTCCACCCTAACTTCCCAGTGGAGGACGCCCGCACAGGGAGCGGGGGGCGCCGTCACGCGGAGTCGCCCCGGAAGTACCAGGTGGACAGGGGCAGCAGGCTCGCCGACCTGGCGGCAGAGAAACTGAGACAGCCTCGCCTTGATGGAACAAGCCTCCGAAACTCGGGCCTTTATCGCTGGTGTCCCCACACGAGACTGCAGCGCCATGGACCAGAGGACCCCGGCGTCTCCCGCCCGCACTGGCTGAGGTTTTAGGGTTTAGCCAAGGAAAGGGACCAGCAGGACGGGGCCCTGGGGTCACAAGGTTACTTAGAGGCCACCTGTCCCTGCTTGCGGTGGACCAGACAGGCACTCTTGACCAGGGGGAACCTTCGTGCCGGAGTGGACCCCCTTGTCCTCAGCCAGCTCCACCTCAGGATGGAGATATATACAAGGTCTCCTGCTGCTTTCACAGCCTCTCTGCTCAGGGTTGGGACAGAACCACCCTAGCTATTCAGTCGCTCAAGGAAAGGACATTAGAAGTGTTTGTTGCTGTTACCTAAGGAGGAAGGGCATTAAAATGTGACTAGCTCATTTCCCATGGTCATCAAACCAAGCCCAGGACCCTGTGCTTATTGGCATGGCTCAGGGGATGCCATGACAGCACCACCATCCCTGTTTTCTGGAGAAAGACACCAAGGCACACAGTGGGAGAGTGTCTAGTATGTGTGGTGTGTTGCCTTGCTCCAGGGCCTGCTCACATGACTCAGATCCACAGCCCTGGTTTCAGCCCCAGGGCTGACTTTTGCAGAGATGACAGATTTCTAGGCCCCCAGAAATTTTTGGCGGAGCTCTAGGAAGTTTGTGCTTGCTATGCAGCTTTATTTATCCTGTCTGTGGCTTAGTAGACCTAGAAAGATTGAAGTTGATGTTAGCCTGTTTTGGGGGGCTTTTCAAAGATTTTCTATGTAGCACTAGGTATGGAACCCTGGCCTCTCATGTACTAAGCAGGCAACACCCCCAGGCCCTGATTGCTGGCCTAGCCCCTACACCTCTCTTCTAGCAGGGCTGGCCCTGCAGATGTGCCCCACCTGCCCTCTCACAGGGGCAGACCGAGGGCCTCCCTTCAGAGCAGGGACAGGGATGTTTCTTTCACCAGGATCTGACTTCTTGCCTGCTGCAGGCAAGGCCTGAGCTGGAAGACCCTGAGGAACTTTGGGCTGCAAGCTGTACCCTCACCTTTTTCCTCACCTAAAGTGGGGCACAAGTTAGGCCACCTGGGTGAGGGGACCCAAAGGCCCACCTGGAACTGCAGGCTAGGCTGGATGCTTGCTGACTGACTGTTAATTCTTAGCAAATTTTGATTACTACACACACTAGGTGTAGCAAGAAGACAATGCCTTGGAGGTACGACTAGGCAGCAGATGAAGGGACACATCCTCCCCCCTGACTGTCTGTCCAAAACCCAAATACAAAACAACACAGCACTGCCTACCACACCTCTCCCTCCCACCGAGCAAGCTCCCCTTTCCAGAGACCAGGTTGCTCCATGAGCATCCTATGAGGGTGGTTGTTTTCCACTCCACTATGCAAGCCATCTTTGTTTGTTCTGCTGTGTTCTGTCTCTGCTTCTAGGGCTCAAAGGAATTTAGCGTGTAGAAGCAGCCCGGGAACTGTGTGAGGCCTTGCTTGGCATTCCACTTGGGCACAGCCACAGTGCAGGGTGTGGGGCCCTTGGAGAAGGGAAAAGGTTGGGCCTCTGGGTGCTGGGCTAGGAGCACAGCGGATGGGGACCTGCTCTGGGAGTTTAGGGGAGAGCCAAGGCAGAAAGGAACGGAACCTCTAGGGCAAAACCAGAACATTTGGTCAGAGATGTTTGGTCAGGGTGAGGACGGAGGATGTCTTAACCTAGAACGCCTTTTAGCCTGAGGAAGGTGGCTCCAGTGACAGGCTGAGGCCATCGAGTTAGGGAAGCTGAAAGGATGTGGGTGGCAGCAGAGCCTGGTGCTGTGGCTGAAGGTACAGGCTGCCATTGCTGTCGCTGGAGACAACTCACTCCGGCAACTTCTCCAACAACCTGTCCTTGGTCCTCCCATGACTGGTCGGTGTGGGATCAGGAAAGGGGGGCAGGAGTGTCCTGACATTGCTGGGGTGGGTTGTCCCCTGAGGTGGTGCCCTGGGCGTGGTCTAAAGAAAGGGGGAGACCAAGAATTTCTGTCCTAGAGGTGACTGCTGGGAGCTGCCCAAGTCTGGTTCCATGGTCATGCCCCACCACGTGACAGTGACTTGGCTTCCTGGGCAGCCCTGCTGTGCTCTGGCTGCAACCCTCATCTCTGCACATCCTGTGTGTGGGGGTATGGGATCTTCAGCTGGGCAAGTGCAGAGTCAGTAGGAGTTAGGCCACACCAGGAATATGAGATCGCGTCTCTGGGAATCCCGGGCCTCTGCTTTGGCTCCCCACACTTTTCTTCCTCACCCCTGAGGGAAAGAACAAACTTAACAGGAAATCTGGGTTAATCAGGCTTGGGAGGTGGAGTTAAAGGAGAGGGGCTGCACATTCCCCTGGTTCCTCAGCCACAGCATGGAGGCAGGGGAGAACCTGGGCTCTGAGTCCCAGCCAGGGGATAGACACTACAGGGCCAGAAGGACAGTCCAGCACCCAGCCTGAGACAAAGTTTGTTCCAGATATGCTGACCCTCTGAGAAGAAAGGCACCAGAATGAGGGGCTGAAGTGGGTTCTGCCTGCCCTTTGTGCCCCCCAACTGCTTCTGTTTTCTACCCTCTGGGTGCCCCCTTCCCTGCCGGGCTCTCAGTGAATTTGCTGTGCTATCCATGGCAGGAGGAAGAGGTGTCCTAGGCAAAGAGCTGTTGGAGACAAGCCTTGCTTCAAGCAGCTGCATATGGTGGACAGGTCCCTGGTCCCAGCGTGCCTGTGGGCCCCTCTCCCAGACCCAGCTGTGGCGTTCTCAGAACAGCAACATCTTGCCTGAGGTTTGGGTGGGCCTCCAGTGATCTGAGTCTGTTCCCTGGGCCCCTGAGGCTCCCACAGGAAGTTGTTTCCCTGTGGCAGCAGTCCTGAGGCTACAGCAACCTCAGCTTCTCTCAGTCAGGAGCCCCACCAACTCTGTACTTCCCTTTCTCACCCGCACTGGGGTGTCCCTGTGCTGTCCTGGGTGGGCCATTGCTTGATCCATCTGAGCATCTCAGCTCTTTTCATAATGAGGATACTGTCCCCTCATTCTGCCAGCCCATGAAGTCCAGTGCTCAGCTCTTCCCCAGTTCTGTGCTTCTGGATCCTGCACCCCACAGCCCAGAAGTCACCAACCCTTGACTGGGGAAACTGGGAGAAATTTTGCGTGCTGACTACCTGTCTCATCTTGTTTTGCAGAGGGGGAGGTGCAATGATTGAATCCCCATTCCTGGAGCTGTGGTGGCCCAAGACTGTGTCCCTCCGGGAGGGCCTGGGCCTGGGGGACAAACCCAATGACTCCTACTGCTACAACTCTGCCAAAAATAGCACCGTGCTCCAGGGGGTCACCTTCGGAGGCATCCCCACTGTCCTGCTCATCGATGTCTGCTGCTTCCTGGTGAGACCCTTGTGAAGACATCCCCTCTTGTCTGTGTGTTTGAAACCAGCATGTCTTGATAAGACCTTCCTTTAAAATCCATTTCTGGGCCAGAAGCTCAGCTCTGTGGTAGCACCCTGCCTACCACATGGGAGATCCTGGTTTCCACACCCAGTCCTGCAAACTTAGTAAACAAATCAGGTAGTCTCCAGTTTCAGTTTAGAGCTGGCAGGGTTGATAAGGAACATGTCCAGCTGTACTTGTTGAACCTTGAGGGAAGGAGCAGGGAGACTGGGGAGTGGTGAACAATAGTCTAGAGCCAACAGAGGCAGAGACTTCAGGCCCCTCCTGCTTCTGGGGACATAGGCCTGCTGCTCTTTCCCAGCTGCTGAGTGGACACAGGCCAGAGCACCAGGAACTTGCAGTGTTTTATTTCACACATCTTCTGTGCTGTCATTTGCACAGTACTTTAAAGAAAACTAAACTCAGCCTGAAAGCCAGTCATCTCTGCTCTGCTAGGAGGTTGAGTACCTGGTTCTGTATTGAAAATGAAGCTCTGAACTGAGCATGGTCGCACATACCAGAGATCCCAACACTTGGAAGGCTGAGGCAGGAAGATCATCAAGAGTTTGAGGCCAGCCTGGGCTACAAGACTTGTGTAGTCTGAACTGCATAGTGAGACCCTGTCTCAGAAAAACTCAAATAATAACAATAATGAATAATCATAATAAGATGAAGCTCTAAAACTGGGATTGTTGGTGTGCACTTATAGTTCCACCTGAGGCAAGAGGATCTCTTGAGATCAAGAGTTGAGGCCACCCTGGGCAATAAAATGACCCATTAATTAAAAAAAAAGCTCTGTGTGAGGAGAAGAGCGACTGCTTAAGGCCAGATCTTGCTTTCCCACTTGAGGTACTGTATAGGTCAGGCTTGCCACCAGGCCTCATGGCACCTGTCCTGACTTAAAGCAAAGGGCAAGTTCACACGTGTGCCCTGGGATACTCCCATGCTAAGTGCCACAACTTGGGAGACAGTGAAAAAGGCAAGGGGAGGATTGGCCCACTGAGCTGTGTGGTCTGAGGAGACCCCCATTACCTCTCTGGGCCCAGGTGATTTCCTTTGGTTTGGGTAGGTGGACTTTGCCTTTCAACCTATGCAGTGCACTTCTACTTGATTTCTTTACTGCTTTTAGTTGTTAATCTTGGCGTTTTCCATCATAAGAAGAAGATTCTGGGATTATGGCCGCATTGCCCAGGTGTCAGAAGCAGACAGGTAAAAAGACATCCTAGACTGACTGTGTGCATGTGTGGGAATGTGTCAGAATGCCCAGGCAGGACCTGTGTGGGAGGGTGCATCTCCAGGTGAACCTCCCTCCCTGCCCATCTGCCGTGGTTGCCTCCTCTAAAGACAGAGTGCCTTGCACACTTTCCTGTGCCCCATTCAGTGGAGGAAACAGCTCCCAGGGCCTTGGTGAGCTGCTGAGGTGCATGAGGGCCACCACTCTCATGGAGTTGACCTGGAGTCACTGACTGGGCGGAGGTCTCTGCTCTGAGATTTGTAGAACCCTGGGGCTATGACCTAGGACCATGGCACCCCTGTTGGGACATTTGATGCTTTCTGATGCCACCAGCCAAGCAAGGCACAGGCTGTCATGGGAAAGGGCTTGTGAGACTAGGAGGCCCTGAGCTTCGTCAGACTCCAGGCTCATCACGTTTTGTGTGGCCGTTCACCCATGTGTAAATGCTTCAAAAATTACGATTCCTCCTGTTTTATGCTGTTGCAAGCAGGATGGTGGAGCCAGAGGCAGGAGAAAAGCACAAACTGCCTAGCATAGGCAGCTCTACTTCACAAGGTGCTTTTATAGGGTGTTCAGAGGAAAGGATCTGATTAAAGTACCACTGTTTAAAGTGTCACAGTGCATCAGCTCACAAATGAGGGTTCTGCCATATCTGTCTCTGAAGTGGGGCTCATCTTATTATCAGTAGTGGTCATATTTTAATTACAGGATTGTTTTCTTCTCAGTGGTTCATGAAATCATATGCCTGACAAGCGTTGATATCTTAGGCTTGATAATATACAGAGTATTTTCAAGTGCACTTACTCCATTCACAGATCCTGAAGGATGTCTTGTATTATTAATTTTCCTCTCTGTCGTCTGGGTCAGGAGAGGGTAATCAAGTGAACTGCTTTCCTTAGATATAGCAGCCATTTCTCAGGCTTCTTCTTTGAAATCCAACTGTTTAGCGTCCATGGTTACCACAATAGGATAAAATAGTCCTTGTCTCATTTTTGACTTATCGTGTTAGGAAATATGCTGTGAACAGACTTTGTCTTGAAGTCCCAGAGGCCAGACCAGGCCCAGGCCCAGCTCAGAGGCCAATCGTATCAGTCTTGAAGTATCTTCTGATGTCTTTGGACCTGTTGCTGCCCTGTGTGGCAGTTTTACTCCACTTGGATCTCTTTTCCTAAAGCAATTAATCTTTTTAATATTTAAATTTGAAAGAAATCATTAATTTGGACTTAAAACTTCTGTTCCTTGAAAGACACTATTTAAAAAAAAAAGAAAGAAAGGAAAGGAAAAAGCCCAGGCGTGGTGGCAGTCACCTGTATTACCAGGATTTTAGAGGCTGAAGTACAAGGATCACATCAAGTCCAAGGCCATCCTGGGTTACGTAAGCTCAGTGCCAGCCCAAGCTATACAGCAAGACCCTGTCTCAAGAAAACCAAAACCAACCCAAGAGAGAAAAAAAAAAAAAAAAAAAAATATATATATATATATATATATATATATATATGACACAAACTGAAAGAAAAATTTCACAACATACAAAAAAATAAATAAACCTCGCAGCTGGATGTGCTGGTGCAGGCGTGTAATCCCAAAATTCAGAAGGCAGAGCAGGAGGATTTTGGTGAGTTTGTGCACAGCCTGGACTACATAGCAAGTTCAAGGCCAGCCTGAACTATGTAGCAAGACCATGTCTAAAAACAGCAGCAACAACAACAAAAACAAAAAAACTAAACTTGCAATTCAATAGTAAACCAAATAATACAACTTGTCACATAATTAGAAGTTTATTTTCATATTTACTCTTTAGTTTTCTCTTTCTTTTTTCAGCATATATGTCTGTGATACATAAAAATATCTATCACGGGGAACTGGTGCATCTCAGTATTGCATCTTCACCCGTTTACTTCCTCTTCCCTGCCTTCTGTCTCCCCTCGCCCCCAAAGCCCCTTCCCAGCTCTCAGATAGCTCCCGCTTTCCTATCATGTGTCTAGTATATTGCTCTTTAAATTACTTATACTTTGTTTCTCATGCAGTCATTTGTTTTTTTGTCCCAGTCGCTGAGATTTGATAAAATTGATCCTGAGTTCTCAGATTAGGCAGAAAAATACTGGACTAATTTTTCCAACTTCATTTTTTCACAATTGTTGGTCACTTTTTTTGTTTTGTGTCTCTAGTAAGTACAAATTGCAGAGATTGTCGTCATCTTCCTCCTCAGAGCAGCAAGACTTTGAAAATGAGCTGGTTGGTAACCAGGGTGCAGTGGGGCGTGGCTGGGCCGGGGATGGGTGGTGGTTGGTGGTGTACCCTGTGACATTGGAGTGACCAGAACTGGACAGTGTTCCCCTTCACATCAACAAAGGCCCCTGTATGTGACAAGGACCCAGGAGAGACCCAGCCAGTGTACCTGGCATTCAGAGACGTCATGACTCATAGGCAGAGAGGGCTGGGGGATCCAGCCTCCCCCATGTATGTGTCTTATCCTTGTGGCTTTGCCTTGTCCTGTCTGCTATAGCCTGGCTTAGCCCTCTCCCCAGCACCAGGTACCCACCCAGTAGGTGCTTAGTCATTGTTGGATCCAAATTGAGATACTTGAATGATGAACAGGTATTTTCTTTCCCAACAGGATAAACAGGCTAGCTTTAGAGAGTAGAAACTTTATAAGATGTGAAGGTCAGTAAGACCTACACTCACCCTTCTGTTTCACTAAGGGCATCATCTTAATTGCAAGGCATCATCCAGTTGATTAAGCTTGTTTCCTCTCCTTATCCCCGCTTTAGTCTGGTCCTTTAGAAACAATGGGACAGCAGCCCCCATCTCCAGAGCACACTTAGCTTCAGCAACTCTGGATCCTAGTTTCATGATTGGAAGCCTCAGATTATCATAACATAGAGGTTCAGAGAAAGGTACAAGCACAGGGCACACTTTGCCAAGACCCAGGGTCAACAGGCTCTGGTATCTGAACAAATGACAGCTTGCCAATAAAGGATGGAAATGCTATGTTTATCTAGCAGGAGGCTAGTGATTAGTTCATTTCAAAGTCAGCTGCCTCTCAGGTTCCAGCTACTGGATTGTAATCTCCCTTTGTCTGCAGGGATGCTGCTCATGGCTGATGGCCATCTTCCGTCTACAGTGAGTACCTGGGCAGTGACTGTGGGTGGGTGGCTTCAGTTGGCTGCCTTGTCCATGCACTTGTCTATCCAGGCAGACAGAGCCAAGATGCGTGCTCCTCAGACATTATGTGGAGACAGAATAAAAGTGACTGTTAAAGTTATATGGGAGGTATCTTTAACAGTCCACTTTGATTTCCTATTAACTTGATTTGAAACCCTGTATAGCCCTCACCATCTTGCTTTGACTGATTTTCCTCTGTTCTGGTTTGCTTGATAGTACCAAGTTTGAAAGTAATAGGCAACAACTGTAAAGACAATAAGATCCATTATGATGCCCATTCCGGTTGACTATTATCTTCTTTTAAAGTCCTGTAATGTCACCAATGTTTTGGTTTTATTCTTTACTGTTTTGTTCTATTTTATTATAACTGATGATATAGGCAATTATTTTTAAGATAGCAAGAGGCAGTATGGTAACCATTGTTGATCACCTTGTATTTTGTTTTTACATTATCTATTATGTCCATCCTTTTGATTTGACTGACTCTATACTGTTATGTCACATTTGGTTTTACTTTCTTCACAAAAAAGTAATAAGAACTGTGCGAGTAATAAAAACCAAAATGTGTAATAGTCATTGTACAAAAGAAAGAAAAAGAAAGTGCTCTAAAGAATAGAACTGCATGTATATTTAAGTGTATACGATAGATAACCATATTACTGAGTTTTGTTGGATCATTGAACAAAACTGTTTCCAGTCCCACTGTTTGAAAGTCCACTTTATATGCTTTAATTTTTTAACTTGAACAACTATTTCTAAGATAACAATATGTAATCTACTAGTGATTTCCTATTGTTTATCTTTTCTGAAATTCTGTATAACTTGTACCCTTTTTCTGTTTTTTTTCTTTTTCTCCTTAAATAAAAAAAATTACTAAAAAAAGATACATACGGAGGGTGGCTAATTTAAGTGAGAACATGCTGTATAGCTCTGACCTGAAGAGAAGTAGCAGGCAGGACTTCCATTCCCAGGCACATTTGTGAGCATCTTCTTGGCCAGGCACAGCATTGAGTGTCTGCTCACTTCTTTAGCCTGCTAGACAGTGAGGGAGGTAGGCGTGACCTTGGTTTGAACAGAGGCAGGAGAAGGGGCTACTCTCTTGTCTCAACCCTTTCACAGCGGGGAAGCCACATGTAGAAAGGATGAAGGAGCATAGCCCCTTCCCCTCTAGCAGGGGCTGTGTGAGACATGAGTATCCACACCCTGATGGACACAGCACTTCCTCACACAACACTTCATAGATAGGGAGCTTGGAGCAGGCCACCTCCATCTCTGGGGCCATGGCGAGGACCTGGAAGGAAGCAGGAATAATCAGGAACACTGACATTTGAATGACTAGAGCAGGGGAGATGGAAAGAAGGTGGCCACAGGCCTCATACCTGAGCTGTATTCCAAAGGCAGTTCTCCCTGCTCTGTTCCTCTAGAATTAAGAAGGGTTGTGGGCTGTCCATCTCCAAGCACCCAGATCTTTACGGTCACACAGATGTACCAAGTGCCAGAAGGTAGCAAGTGGTCCATCCTGAGCCTCCAGGATGGTCTAGGGACCGTGAGTGTGGACAATCTTTCTGGATCTTGCTTTGCAAAAATTCAAAAAGGGGTGGGATGATACACCCCCCCCCCCATCTCCTAGGATTGCTGTGATGTTTAGGTCAGATAGTCTCACCTGTTAAAACAATTGCTTTTCTGTTTCTTGGTCAGTGATGATCAGATCCTGAAGAGATGTGGGGAGGATGCCATCCACTACCTGTCCTTCCAGAAGCACCTCATCTTCCTGCTGGTGGTGGTCAATGTTTTGTCCTTGTGCATCATTCTGCCAGTGAACCTCTTGGGAGACCTACTGGGTAATGGTTCATCTTTACATCTGTCTGTTGCAATGGCAAACAAAAATACTGAAAAGACACCCAGGATTTAGGGGCAGATTTATTTATATCAGTGGGCACTGATCAGGATCATTCCCAAAATATTGATCCCTGATCTCTGGTGTTCTGGGGCCCATATGGCATAAGAAAGCATGAAGTACAGAGGCAAAATGGCTTTTCAATTGAAGATTGGTTTTTACAGTATGCATTATGGTGACCTATGAATCACAATGACCAGCAATTTCTAAGAAATAGAAGTCACAGAAACTGTAACCACAACTATTACCTTGGAAACTAACAAACTGTAGTATACTGGCGGAAAGGAGGCATTTTTTGCTATATTTCCTCCTTTTAATTTCCCTGGAAAATCTTTTCTTGGCATATTGCTTGTGATCTTCTAGACAAGACCAAACTAGCAGCAGTAACATTAGGATTGTCAGTGATCCTAGGATGGGTCCTATATAAGATCCCCAAGATTGTCTTATTACAAAGTTTTCCCCTAAGTTGCTTTTATGAAGGGGTATAATTTAGGCCTCTCCATTTTATAACACTTCACTGATAAGGTAGTAAGGATGTTAATCTAGTCTAGGAGAGTGCTCAACATGCCTTAGATGCTCATCAAATCTTGGTTAAGTGATTATTCTCTTGTGGCAACTGTCCATAAAGTTTAAAGCAAAACTAATATCTAGCCGAGGGGCAGGAAAGCAAGGACTGGGCAAGGATCATGGGTATGGAGCAATCCCATGAATGGTGTCTCAAGATTCAGCCATGTGTGGATTGGTCAGCATCTGGAGTGAGCAGAGCAGGGCTTTGAGTGCATTGTCTCTTCAAAGTGAGCCCTGGAGGATCTTCCCAGGTAAATTCCCCAGAACTCTGGAATGGTGGGTCTAAAACTGGATTTCTGAATCTTGTAGAGGTAGTTAATATGCATCTGGGTTACATGTGTGTGCAGGAGTCCCTAGAATTAATAGTTGATCTTTTAGCTAAACTTTTGTGGAGCTTATTACCAGCTGTGTTATTGATGGCACAGAGATGTTGCCCAAGGTGATTAATAGTCTTTCAGGCTGATGTGTGACTGAATGTTCATGCTTCCCATGACGTCTGACAGCAGAGGGGGTGGCAGTGAGGTAGTGTAATTGATGGCCATACCTGGAGGCAAGTCTTGGATCATACCTCTGGGAGGAGAATTTTCCAGAATTTCAGGATTGTGATCATCTTTTCAGTGTAAGATTAGACAAGAGGGATGCTGACTGATTTAGTGACAGAAATTTATATTTGGTAAGATGTCTTCCCAGGCTGCAAGTTTGTGCCTGGGAAAGGGGGTATGAGGCAAGGGTCCCAGTTGCCCAAGGGATTGTAACTTTTTGACAGAGAAGACTTTTGAATGCAGAGAGTTCTTTTCCATTGTTTACCAGAAAAATCACAGGTTTGCCCACAACTTTGCAACAACCATGGGTTCTCTGTCCTATTGATCCAGGCCTGACAGGCTGAACAGAGGTTCTGGTGGAAATGGGTTTGGATAGTCAGATTTCTTTGTGACTTGCAGGTGGTGGGGGCATTTATTTTTGTGTCCATAGCCTTTATAGCCACAGAATATGGTAATCTATCAGACAGAATTTTCTTATGGACATAAGATGCTTTGTTTTATTTAGTTTCTGGGTAACGTGATTGATTGACCTTTTCCCTCCTCTTTGATGTCTTTGAGAAATGCTTGACTGCTCTTATGCTTCTAGCCAGGACAGCCTTTGGGAAAGATGGTAATTTATTTGTCAAGGCTAACAGTCCAATTTTTCCTCAGTCAAAACGTAGAACACAGAGGGAATTGTTAGCAGTCATCTCAGGTGGATATTGGATGATACCATCTGATGAGGATAAGCATGTCTCTGGGGGGAGGGGTTCTGTGGCCAAATGCAAGCAAAGACTGATCAAACTGGAACTGGTTCCGTGGGCTAGAAGTAGACAAGTCAGGAGAGGGAAGCCAAGAGAGAAATCTTAGGAAGAATGGGCCTTGTTTTTCCTTTTTTTTTTTGAGACACAAGAAGCAGTTTGGTTTCATTTTTAACTCTATAAAAGCTTTTTTTTTTTTTACAGTCAGAGGCTGTGGGTTTTAACTTCCTACCCTTGAACCCTTGTTGTGAACCCTTGAACAGTGATGCAACGAATAGTGAGTGCCCCTGAGAGACAGAAACTACTCGAATGCCTTCCTCAATATACCCCTTACAGGAGACTTAGGGTGACTTAGCTAAGGAGGATGGAAGGCAAGACCTCCATTATGCCATATGTAAATTACCATGGAACCCCAGGTAGGCCCAATAAACCACCTCGACCACTGCTTCCTGGTCTTGGTGCACAGACAGAGAAGCCTGTTGTTCATGCTGTCTAGTCCATTTGCTCACACATTCATTCAACAGGCACTCAGTGGTTAAACATTTCAATCCCCTTCTCTCAAGGATGGTCCTGACTAATAAGAGGCATTAGCCTCTCCTGCTCAAACCAAGCAGTACTCACAGACAGAATAATGGGTTCTTCCAGGGGTCTCACCACAATTAGGCAGGCAAACAAATGGGCAGATAGACTGCATCCTCCTTCCTTTGGTGTCCAATGTGAGCTGCTCAAGCAGGGAGCCAGAAATCCTCCTCTACACCTCTGAGAAGACTTGAGAAATCTCAAGGTGCACCTTCCTGTAAAGACCAGAGAGGTCCTTGCTCTGTCCATGAGGGCCATGACCAGTGCCCAATGCACAACATGCAGTAGAAAACAGATACCCCAAAATGACACCCAGGATTTGGAAGCAGATTTATTTATATTGATTGGTGCTGATCAAGATCATTCCCAAAATATCAGGCCCTGATCTCTGGGGGCCTGGAGCCTATATGGGATAAGCAAATATAAAGTGCATAGGCAGAATGGCTTGTCAATTGCAGATTGCGATTGCATCATAGTAACCAGTTATACATCAGAGTGACCAGGCACTTGTAAGAAACAAAGTAATAAGAGCTGTAACCAAAACTTATTATCTGGGAAAGTAACAAACAAGTATACTAGCTGTGAGGGAGAGGGCATCTTCTGCCACACTGTTTGGCAGGGAGCAGAGGGGTGACCCTGAGGTAGAGGTTCATTGTAGTAAAGTAGAACCCCTGAGTTAAGGCCTATTCCACTTGAGAGACAGTCTTGGGATGATTGACAAGGTCCCTGTCACTGAGTAAAAATCTAGAGGAGAATAGCTCCAAACCCAGGATTACAACTGGGCCCCCAAGACCACTTTCTGGTTATATCTAAACAGGATTTCTAAAACCCAGAGGTTGATAGGATGAAGGAGTTTCAGGTGGTGGTTTATGTTTTCCTATTCTCACCCAACTCAGGAGGCCACAGTTTCTGGGCAAGGAAGATGTCTGTGATGCTCAGTTAATATCAGTGTGTAGAATTGTATCTCCCCACTTCCCAGTGCCACTGCAAAAGCACTTGTATGCCTAGTGACTACATATCTTTCTTTTAGGAACAGCTTAGGATATTTTGAGTTTTATCAAAACAAAAAAAATCTCCAAAGGAAAAGAATGTGAACACTTTCTCAGTGTGGCAAGTTGAGAAGTTCTTAAGGAGCACCTTGGAATGCAGTAGTGGCCCTACATGCATCTCCAAAAGGATCATGGGTGTCCACACCGGTCTGGGCACTGTCTTCCACCTCCCCAGAGCTCTCTCAGCCAACAAAGTTGTGCTTTTTCCCCATCATGGCCCTACATGAGACTCCATTTCTGTGCTTTTCCACAGACAAAGACCCCTACAGTTTTGGAAGGACAACCATAGCAAATCTGGAGAATGAGTGAGTGTGGGTCCTGGTAGAGGGTTGTGGATGGGAGAATTTACAAGAAGACAGAGATGGCAGATGCACAGGCCAGGATGGCCATACTGATGTCTGGACACCTTGCCAGCCACTGGGCACCCAGTCTGTGGGCATTACAGAGGTCTTAGGGTACAGGAAGGCCAGTGGGTCCCGGCCTTTCTGTGGTATTCACTGAGCCTTTGTAGCCATCTGCTATAGTAGAGCCATTGGTCCTACCTCTTCTGTCCCCTCAGGAATGACCTCCTCTGGCTGCATACTGTCCTTGCTGTCATCTACCTCTCCCTCACAGTGGCCTTCATGCGGCACCACACCCAGTCCATCAAGTACACAGAGGAGACCCTGGTGAGTTGGGGTAGGACTTCAGGGCCCTACACATGCTCAGCAGACCCTGTAGCCTGGTTTGCATATTGAGCTTCACTTGGCATCATCTTTTGTTTTTTAGTCATCTAATGGATTGTTTTAAGATTTGAACATTTGCCCCACATTCTGTAACTCACTCTTTGATCTGTGGGGTTATACTGGACTAAGGAAGTTTAGGTTAAGGGCCTGTGTCACCTCAGAGGTGCAGTGCTTGATTCAGTGTGTCCAGCCTTGAATCTGCCCCAGCACAGCAGAAGAGAAGGGACACAGAGGCTGAGGCCAGCCCCTCTTTTTGTGTCATGTCTCCAACCCCAGTCTCCTCTGCTCTTCCTGGCAGCCCATTTGAGTCACTGTCACTCTCTAGTTGTTCCCTCACCTCCTGTCCCCCCAAAGGATTCTCACAGAGCTTTGGAAATGGAGTGTTTGTAGCTGACAAAGGCTGTAAATACATTAATATATATGCCCTGTAAGGCCATGGGACAAGAAACAAGAAATCATGGCCTTTTGATTCTCTGTTCTCTCTCTCTCTCTCTCTCTCTCTCTCTCTCTCTCTCTCTCTCTGTCTATCTTTCTTTCTCTTGGTGTTTTTTTGAGACAGGTTCTCACTATTTAGTTCAGGCTGGCCTTGGTCTCATTTTGTAGCCCAGGCTCGTCTTGAACTTGCAATTATCTGCCACCATCAGCCTCCTGAGTGCTGAGATTACAGAAGTGTCCCATGTGCCTGGCTTGATTCTGTTTTCTTTCTGAAAATTGCAGTCAGAGGGAAACCTGGGCCACCTGCAATGGCTTGCCTCAGTGACTTTTTGACCTGATTTGTTTCTCTGGCAGGTGAGACGGACCCTGTTTATCTCTGGAATCCCCAAAGGTGCCAAGAAAGAGGCCTTAGAGAGCTACTTCGAGTAAGCAGGACTGAAGGATCATAGGGGTGAGGTGGGGAGAGTTGTCATGAGTCCAGATGCAGCCCTGTAGGTGTTGGACATGAAACCTGAGAGGTATCCCATTCTCTGCAAGCAACCATAACTGTTCTACAGGACCAGTGTCCAGAGAGTGAGCCTGGACAGCAGCAAATAATCACCTTGAAAGCACATGGGAAAGAAAATGATTCACTCTGGTTCTGAATATCTGCTATGCACAGTTAGAGAGCTGTGAACTGAGCTTTTCTGCCAAGCAGCACTAAAGTCTTGAGCAGGGAAGACATTGGTCATTTATTGGTTGGTTCCCAGCCTACCTAGCAACGATCTGCTGAAGTCCAGCTCTGCTGTCACATTTCGTTTCCAATTGTATCCACAGTCTTCGCAGGTGGAGATAGGAGCTGCAGCTGAGAATCAAGGCAGGCCCTGGGGTCTCTGGGAGAATTGGGTCAGAGAAAGAGAGGTCAGTCAGAGGTTTTTGGCCAGCACCAAGATCTGATTCTCCCTGCATTCCTGTCAGTTCTGCAGTAACTAATTTGAAGCATGCTATAGGTCTTGGCTACAGATTAACTTTACATTATTTAAAAGTAAAGCTCTTGCAAAGCAAACTATTAGTAATACCAGAATTATGAAATAAATATTTAATATTTATTCATTGAGTTCTTCAGTAATGCCAATAAATTTAAGAAATATTCTCCTCTATATACACACTAGGTACTACATATGTTTCTGTCTGTTTCTTGAGAAAATGTTCACAAGCATCTAGAAAGTAGCATGTGGGGACTGTCATAGTCCTGGAGTTCCCAGGAATCTGTGTCCAGTTCAGTGTGTGGTATGGGCATGATGGTGCCTGCTAGCATGAACCTCAGACCTAGGCTGCCCAGATTTTTTGGCTCCTGGCTCTAACACTCACCACTTGGGTGACCTTGAGCCTTGGTAGTTCCAAACCTTACAATTTATGATGAGGTTTATATATAAATAAATATATGTAACAGTACCTAGTCAATAATCAGTTCATAGACATTTTGTTGATTGCCTCTATGGACACAGACATTTTCTGGGCTGAGGGTCTCTTGCTGTCATTAGACTCTAAAAATCTCTGACCTTCAAACAGTTAGATACTGAAACTGAACAAATAAGAAATCTCTTCTTTTGGGTGGCTAGATAGGATAATAGGTGTGGAATTGAGGATAACACCCAGGGCTAAGACCCATTAAATACTGCTGAGCTATACCTCAGCCATGAGCAGTACATCTAGGATGGAAAGCTGACTGGGCATATATATGCTTGTCACTATATATGCAGTTCCCTTCATGCCATTCAAAGATGCCTTTGGGGGGTTGGAAATTTACTCAGAGGTAGAGGGCTTGCTTAGCACAAGCAAGACCCTGGGATCCATTTCTATAGCCCTAAAACAAAAGAAAAATGAAAATTCCCTGTATTAAACTTCAAAATTCTCCCACCTGTGGAGTAAATAGAAGAGAAAAAAGAGACCACTGCCAGCACAAACCAAACATCCTGCCATGGAGGTGAGTGAGGTCTTCCTCCTGGGCTGGTTCATCCATCCCATGGCTGCAACTTGTCCCTCAGGCACGTTTACCCAACTTGTGAGGTGACTGATGTTCAGCTGTGCTACAATGTGGCCAAGATGATCTACCTGTGTGGGGAGAGGTAAGAGAGAGGGCCCTGCACTAAGGTTCCCACCCTCCTGGCTGGGATGGACTCCTCCATGGGAAGGAAAGAATTGGGAATCAGCCTGTCCTTCCTGCTCAGAGCAGAGTGCCATGCTGTGCTGGAGGCTGATAGCAAAAGTGATGCGGGACATCCACAGATTGTGGACTTCAGTCTGCCCATTTGCACCTGCTCCAAACTCCGCAGAAAGAAGACTGAGAAGAGCCTGGCCTACTACATGAACCATCAGAAGAGGACAGGCGAGCTGACCCTCGTCAACCCTAAGCCTTGTGGCCAGTTTTGCTGCTGTAAAGTGTGTGGCAGTGAGCGGGTGAGCAGTAACACCCTGTGCAGGTTTCCTGACCCACAGGACCATGTCACCCACAGGCTGTGTCTCCTGGCAGGAGGATGCCATCACCTACTATACACACCTGTACAATAAACTGCTGGAGGAGATCATGGAGGAGGAGTGCCAGGTCCAGGACAAGCCCCTGGGAATGGCTTTCGTCACCTTCCGAGAAAAGTCTATGGCCAGCTAGTGAGTACAACCTGTCTAGCCTCCCTCACCTGACTCTGTCACCATGTGGATCACTGACTATGTCATGTATGCAGATACTACTGTCCTTCTTCCACAGGGAGCTCAGGATGTGGGTGACTCTAAAGTACAGGGTTCACTGTGGGGATCTGTGAGTGCTCTAAAAGCCTCACTGTGGCTGGACAATAGGTGCTCCTGGGTCTAGTAGGGGACACATGGGTACTCCTGAGCCTCACTGTGTGGAGCCCATGGTATGCCACAGGAACAACATGGAAACATATGGGTGCTTCAAGCTTCTCTCTGGGAACTCATGGATATTCCTGGGCTTCATTCTGGCTACCAATAAAGGTGCCACGGGCTCAAAGTAGGGTCCCATAGGTAATTGAGAACTTCACTTAGAGCACCCATGGGTGTTCCAGGGCCTCACTGTGGGACTCATGAGTGCTCCAAGGTTTCAGTGTGGACACCCATAGGTGCTCTAGGACCCCATGTTAGCACTCATTGGGGTTCCAGGGTCTTACTGTGAGGGCCCACAGTGCCCCAGGGCCTCAAGATATGCAAAATGAAGCTAAGGTCATGGCTAGAAGAAGAAAGATTGTCACATCATCCTAATAGGGTGCAGTGTGTAAATGGACATGGTTGGGAACTAGAGGCAGACAGACTGATGCACAACCTGGTTGCTGAACCTGCAGAGATATGACGTGTCTGTGGGAATGGTGGGGACAAAGCAGTCTGGCCTGTGAGCTAAGCGTGACCTCTCCTGCATATAATCGGCTTTGTAAAAAGAGCAGCAATGAAGCCAAGGCTGCACGTTCCCTGCCTGTGCCATTCCTATGCACAGGGCTGCAGCAGGCCCAGGCTCTGACTTCTCGTCTCTGCATCCTGGCAGCATCCTGAAGGACTTCAGAACCTGCAAATGTCAGAGCTGTCAGTGTAAAGGCGAATCCCACTCATCTGCCTACAGCAGAGAGCTCCACGTCTCCAAGTGGAGGGTCAGCGTGGCTGCCTACCCCCAGGACATTTGCTGGTGAGAGTCAGTGTGGGCAGGATGGAGGGTGGCCTGACTCCTTCAGGGGCCAACGGTCACCTGGAGACCAGGTGTGACTTGACATTCAGTGGAAATCTCTACAGGGCCCACAGGATCCTCTGGGTCAACCCGGGGTATTCAGAGCTTCTCTGAATGTTACTCCACCAGGCAGCACTGTCCAGCAGAAACCCAGGGGGTACAGGGTATGTATATCAATCACTTAGATTTCCTTGTATCACATTTGCAAAGAAAAGGAAATCAGAGGAAGAAATTTTAATAATAAATGTCTCCCCACATATCCCCCAGTTTTAATATTTTAGCATGGAATTGGAATACTCTTTTTTCTTGGTAGTATGAGGATGGAACACAAGCCAGGCAGATGCTCAACACCAAGCTACAGCCACAGCCATAGCCACATTCTTCTTTTAATACTTAGTGTTCAAAATCTTTCACCATTTTTAGGTACACCAGCCATGTCTCATGTGCTGAATGGCCACCTGTACCTGCCATATTTGACAGCATGCCCTTAAGGCAGGCTGGGGACCTGCCAGTGCTCTGAGCTGTGTCAAGGGCATGAGTGAGATTGGGCACAGCTGCCTGCCCATGCTGCCTTGGTTCCTCTCCACTGAATTTGAGCTCAGCACTGACTGGTTTGCTCATTGCTTCACAGGGTGTCCCAAGCATGGGACTGATGTATCCGTCAGTTCCTGGTGGAAATGTGGGGCCAAGGCTGGCTCTAGCTCTGCTCATGCCCCACTGTCCCTGCCTGTCTCCCCCTTGACCCTAGCCCATGGCCTATTGGGAGGAAAGTGATGGGAGGCACATGGCCCTGCAGATAGCCAGGAAATGGTATGCAGAAGCTGTCTGTTCAGTTTGGGTCTTGTGGCATCACTTTGGGGAGGCTGTGTGCTGGGCTGTAGCTGCCACCTACACATTGGCCTTGTGGTAGCACAAGGTCAGTGCAGAGGATGTACCTTTCCCCCTAAGTCCTGAATGAACCCCAGCCAGATGCCTGGGAAAGTCTTCTGGCCTGTGTGGATCAGACCTGACTACCTCAGCTCCAGTACAGCTGGTGCTGGTGGCCTGTTCCAGGGACAGAAGCTTGTGCGCCATTTCCTCTCTGCAGGCAGAACCTCTCCGACCAGGGCCCCCATTGGTGGTTACGGTGGTTCAGCATCAACTTCACCCTCTTCGTGGTGCTCTTTTTCCTGACCACACCCTCCATCATCCTGTCCACTATGGATAAGTTCAATGTTACCAAGCCCATCCACGCGCTGAACGTGAGTGACACTGGCAGGAAAAAGGCTTAGAGTTTGGGGAGGACGGGACAGAGGCCTACAGGACCCTGAACCAGAAGGCCCAAGCACTCAGCTCATCTGAACTTCTGAGGCAGAAGAAGGCATGACCATGTTTATTACCGTGCCTTAGAATAATGCAACATATACCTGCTCAATTGATGCAATCAAACTAAAAAGTAAGGATCTTTTGAGATGAACAAGGTATTTTAGTCCAATAAAATATTGAACATATATTAAACATTGAGGACAGTATACAGACACAAGGGGCTTATAATTACATCAGGTTATAAAATAGTCTCTGAGCAATGGGTCTAGTGACATTGCCAGTGACACCTGTATGCTAGCCACTAGGGAGAAGGGATGGGAAAGACTGAGAAGATGTTTCTTGATTGGGGAGGTATGGATGATTTCTTTTGTATTTCAGTTTCTGAGAATCTTCTTAGGAACTCATTTATTGTGCATAAATATTGAATGGTTTTCAAAGCACCTTAGAAGGCTAGGTATGGTGCTGTGCCCTTATAACCCTGCTACTCAGGAGGCTTAGGAGTTCTACACAACATAGCAAGACTCCATCTCAGAAACAGAACTAAACAGGCTAAGGTGAATCAAGGAGACAACAACTACACCAAACGCAAATGAGCATATGTAGAAAGAGACATTGGTTTCTCTTCACAACCTTGTTGAAATGCCTCTGTGAATCAGTTATTCTTTCCCGTTACACTTGGTACTTTGGTAATGATCCTCCAGCAAGGCACCGTGGGTGGCAGCCCTGGGGCCCGGGTCCTGACTCACAAATTCTTAGCCTGAGTTTTTATCCCAGAACTAGATTTAGAATACCTGTCATGTGACACCTCTGAGCCAGCGTGTAGTTGATACCCTTATCTGACTCACTATATAGTAAATATTGCTAAATTATGCATTAGCTGTGAGATTTCAGTTTGCAGCAAGAATGCCATCATTTCTGTGCCAATTCTTTGTTTTCCCCTAGTGTTAAGGGTTGAGCCAAGGGCCTTTGCACTGAGCTACGTCTCTAGTGCTGCTTATTTTTCATCTTGAGATGGGATGACCCAAAGTCAGTAAGTGCCCCATGTTGGACTCAGACTTGCAGTTCTCCTTCCGAATCCTCACAGAGCACTGAGATTCCAGTCTTGCACCACCACACCAGTAGGGAAAAGGTCTGCTTCTTCGCTCCCCTTTGTCTGTTTTATATGAGCTACATTCTTATTTCACATTTGTGATTCCAGTTTGTCTTTCTGTAAAACAAAGCAGGAATTTAGACTGGTGGCGGAGCTCAGTGGTAAAGTATGTGGTTTTCGTTTTTTGTGTTTTAAGTTTTGTTTTGTGGTGCTTGACATCAAACCTAGGGTCATAAGCATGCTAGGCAAGTCTACCTCAGAGTTAGCTCCCGCTCCAGTTTAGCTTTCAAAGAGAATATATTGTTATGTTCATTTAATCCGTGAACTAAGTTAATCAAATCACAAAATGACAATATCAGCTAGAACCAGCATAAACATGATTGGGGGCCACAGAGTGCAGAAAAGTACAGCTGGCCTACTGGCATGGAGAGGAGCCTGGCCAAAGCATGCAGTTGACCCTAGATATTAGCCATTGGTTTCCTATAAGAAGTAAAGACTCCTGCCCAATCTGGTCTGTCACGTTAAGTGCAGCGCACTGTACCCGAAAGAGCTTTCTTTGATTTAAAGAGCTATATAGTACCATAAAGTGCTATTGTTTTTTCAGCTGACATTTGATGTCTGTGCCCGCGTGATGCTGAGCCCTGGCCTAACAGACCACGGCCTCAGTGCCATGCTCCACAGACCCCCCACTCTCTCTCTGCTGGGCCTTGTCTTCCAGAACCCAATCATCAGCCAGTTCTTCCCAACCCTCCTCCTCTGGTCCTTCGCAGCCCTGCTGCCCACCATTGTATACTACTCAACGCTGTTGGAGTATCACTGGACAAAGTGAGTGCTGAGCCTGGAGGACTCTGGACTACAGCTGGGGCCTTGAGCGCAAGACAGGCCTCACTAGGCACCTGGAGCATTTGGGACTGTGAGTGCTCACTCTGGCTTCCTGCAGGTCGGGGGAAAACTGGAACATGATGACCAAGGTCTACATATTCTTGATCTTCATGGTGCTGATCCTGCCCTCCCTTGGCCTCACCAGGTATATCCCACCATCTCCTGCTCTAGGTTCAGAATCAGGGCCACATCTGTAGAGCACTGCTACCAGGGGAGTGCAAATGGTTTTGCAAACAGGTCTGGGGCCTGTAGTAACCAGCGGGAGTGCAGTTGTGCTGACCTATGGATTGTCCTAGAAATATGATCTTTCTTGAGGTAGGGAGCTAGCTTACACAAGTTTATTGAAGACCTCTCCTACACACACACACACACACACACACACACACACACGCACACACACAGAGTTTCGTAGTAATCATAGTTGTGTTTAACTTAAGGAGGACAGTTCCCTGAAACCTGCCCTGTGAATCACACTATGTAATTGACATCAGAGAAAACAATGGTAGATTTCAAAATTCACCCTCTTTTCATAGTGGAACAAAAGCGAATATGTTGTGATCACATGGCGTATTAGAAATAGACTCTGAGACTTGATTTAGCCCAGCATCAGAGCATTTCTCTACCATGCACCAACCCCTGTGTTCCATCCTTAGCACTACAGAAGTAAGAGAGGGCAGAGGGAAAGTCCAGGAAGATAGAAAAGAAAGAAATAAACTCTTAGAAGATTCGCTTGCTTTTCAGCCTGGATTTTTTCTTTCGGTGGCTCTTTGACAACACTTCCTCGGAGGGCTCTATAAGGTTGGAGTAAGTATAAGCCAATTCGGGTCCTGGAACACCAGTCTTGGGTACATGCCATGGTGGTTGTGCTTCAGACCAAGCTTTCTGATCGAACGTCAGGCACCAAGGCTCCCCCATTCCAGAGGAGCTGAATGCACATGGGCCATTTTTAGGACAAACCTCAATTATCAACACTGTCAGTCTTTGAAACTTAACAAGCACAGCCACAGAGGTGAGAAGTGCCTGGGCTCAAGGATGCCAGGTAGTCTTGAAGCAGAAGAGTCATTGAACATGGCTGCAGAACAGCTAGCTATCTGGTCTGGTGATTATTTTTGTGAGGAGGATGGCTCCTGTGTGCACTCATTAGTGTTGTAAGATTATACCTTGCCCACATCGTGCAATAGCATTTGCTTAAGAAGCCACTGTGCTAAGTAGTTCAAACAATTTTTTCCCTTTAAACATTATAGTAGGCTATCAAGTAGCCAGTGATATCATCTCCATTTAGAGACAGAGTGACTGAGGCTCGGAGATGATGAGTGACTCATCAAGGATTACCCAGTTACAGAGCGAGCTTGTTTCAAGAACTTAATTTTTTCCACAGTTCTGGACCCAAACTAAGTTGGACAAGAATCAAATCAAACTTTCCATTGGGTCAATGTTGAACCTAACTAACCATTGAATATGATTGGGTTCTTGTCCAAATCAGTTTACAACCAGAATCTTTGAAAGATTTACATTGTGAACTAGTGTGCCACTATAGTTAAGAAGCAGAAATACATAAGTACAGCTTAAAATCCAGCCTTCACAGAGGCTAGAGGTCAGGACTGGTTTTCCAAGGACACAGTTACAGGGCAGTCTCAATGCCTACTGTGCCAATGTGTGGATTTTTGTAAATGAGTTCTTAACTGGGGAGACTGAAGGCTGAGGAGCTGGAATCACAGCCCAATACACATGTTCTCAACCAGCTCTTTTGCAGGTGGACAGTGACATCCTGATTAACAGATCCAAAGGCCAGCCCTCCTTGTTTTCTGTAATCTGTGAGCCTCCTGAGAATCTGCCCAGTGGACAGTCAGCCTGGGCTCCTCATTCCTAGCCTTCTAGGGATACTTTGAGTCTCACAGGTCTAGATATTACTCCCTGAGGGCTCAGCCCTGGGTCTCTGGGTTTATCGCTGTCAGTGACTGCAGCTGTACTGTGACACCAGTGCCACTGAGCTACTGCATTACAATGTGTCAACAAGGAACCATAGATGCAGTGGCAGAGTCCATGCTTAGTGTGTGCCAAACCTGAATTTGATGCCAGCAGCCAACACATGCAGACCACATCCATTGTGTCACCCTACCTGCCCCTGATGACTGTCCTGCCTCTGACTCAGATGGAGCCCTGCAAGACACTGCAGATGTCCTTCCCCAAATGCCAGCTTTCTGTCCAGGCATGATCCTCCAACCATGCCTCCTTCACAATATCTAGTTGCTCTGTGGAGAGCCTTGCAGTTGACAGGGTCCCCTTCCTTTCCCTCCACACCACACCCTGTCCATCAGCAAAACCCACAGCTCTGTCTCTGAGGCTATCCAAACCCTGCCCACACCTCTCCACCTCCACCACACCTCTGCCTGGGGAACTCAGGCCAGCATGAAGCCAACTGAATGATCTCCTGCCCTCAACTCTCACTTCAGTGTATTCCCTTGCTCCAAGAGGAACCCCAACCTTTCACACTCAGTGCCACCTTCCCCATCTGCCTCAGTGTGTTCCATGAAAGGGCCAGCCATGCCACTCCTCAGATGTGCCATTGTCTACACCCATGTTCTCTGGGGCCTTGAGAGCTTTCTTTGTGTCCCTGCTGTCACCTCATAAGGGAGGCTCCCCTGACCCCATATGGACACTTGAGTGCCACCTGCCTTCTGGGTTGCTCTGAGCTGTGGCCATGCACAGTGTGTGTGTGTCTGTGTCCCTCAGAGTATGTGTAGAAGCACAGTCTTTCAGGTGTGTGCCTCTCCTCAGTGGAGGAAGAGGCTCACACACTGGCCCTGTCACCAGGTGTGTCTTCCTGCCAGACCAGGGGGCCTTCTTCGTGAACTATGTGATCGCCTCAGCCTTCATCGGCAATGGTATGGAGCTGCTGCGGCTGCCAGGTCTCATCGTCTACACCTTCCGCATGGTTATGGCCAGCACGGCTGCTGATCGCAGGAACATCAAGCAGGTGACGCCTCTGACTCCTTCCGATCCCCAAGCCGCTCAGCTCTACACAGCTCAAGTTTTGCCCATCCCTGCTTCTTGCACCTAGACCAGGGCCATCTCTGCTGGAAGCTTCTCAACAACATGGCTCCTTCACGAGGGATGGAGGAGAGAGCTTGGGGCTTTTGCATTGTGACCAGTTTGGCTACATCCATACATGCAGACACCTAGGGTCCCCAGTTTCTGGGCCACACTGGTGCTCACTGATAGAACATTGCTTAGGAAGCACCAGGCCCTGGGTTCCATCCCCAGCATGAAGAAAGGACAAGCCTTTCCATGGAACACATCCATTTGCATGTGTTCTTAGCAGAGCCAGGTATCAAAGGCATTTTGAATTGGTAACATTTGTTCCAGCACTCCCTAAATTAGAGGGCATGGGGGCCTCTTACTCCCTCTGCCTTGGTAGGTGCCGTGAGAGAGGCACGTTTAATCCATTTACTCTTCAGGGCCCCCTTAGGAGACCAGCAGCACTAGTGTTCCTGTTTCACAGAGGCACAAAATAAACCGGTTGAGGACACATGGCCAGAAGAGGATGAGCTGGTGTTTCGTGTGATGCCAAGTCCAGGAATCTCTCTACAGCTGTCCCTAGTCTAGCTCTGCCTCAAGGCAGCTGACTCCAATCCCTGTGCCCTGGAGACCTGAGTGGGCACACTGTGCCCTGTCCTAGACATATGACTGTGTACAGTGTCCCCTCCTAGACGCCTCTCTGAACATTCTGCCACCTTGGGAGAGGCCTGAGTATCTGCTACCTGCCTGTGCTCTGGGCACAGACTTGAGAATCTGCCATGGGCTGGCCAGGGGCCCCAATGCCTCCCCAGAGGGTGGCTGAGGGTCTCTTGCCTCACAACCCCCTGCTCCCAGAACCAGGCCTACCAGTTCGAGTTTGGAGCCAGGTACGCTTGGATGCTGTGCATCTTCACTGTCGTCATGGCCTACAGCATCACCTGCCCCATTATCGTGCCGTTCGGTGAGTGGCCCTCGTGCGTATGCACACAGACAGCTGCCTCCACCCGCTCTCAGGGATAGCTTCATGGTTCAGCAGACCCTTGTGGCCACTGCAACCACTGCTGCTAGGGAAACATATGGCACTAAACCTTACCTTCTGCCTGAGCGAACTCTGTCTGTGGCCTTAAAGTGTGATCTCCCTTAGTGCTTCTGTGGGCTAGCACTGTTACTGGGTCATTGCTGGCTTTGTGTGCATGCTAGGGTTCCACCTGAGCACTCCACACATGCTCATTAAGCCCCCTGCTGTGGAGCTCCACCAGCCCCTGCCTGCAAGCTTGCACCCTACACCAGCACTGTCTTGCTGCTGCTGCTGGTTCTACCTCAGCCAGCAGGGCTGAGGCAGCGCAGTGGTGCATTGCTGAGCACATGCCAGGCCCTGGGCTCAATCCCCCCAGGCCTGGAAAAACCAGAAAGCCATCACCTACCTTTATGCCCTGCTTGGTCAGAGCCTTGGGCTCCTTACAATATGAGGAGACCGAAGTGTGGGAAGTGAGTGCTGAGGGCTGGCTCAGTATGGGAGGCAAGCAGGTCTGGGCCAGGTACTGTATGGTCCAGGGCAGAAACACAGGAGCTCCCATTCCCTCAGAGTCAGGGAGAAGTGAAGAAGGAGGTGAGGAGAGAGGGAGAACAGCCAGCAGTCACGATACACTTTTGTCTAATTTAGCCTCAGACTTTGCTCAGCACTCCCAACCCCTAACTCCATGCAGACTAGCTACCCTCCAAGAGCAGGCAGCCACCTACTCACAACCCACCTTCACAGGTCCTCCCCGGGGAAGGCAGGGGTCCTTGGGTGTGGTGTGGCACTTCCCTCCTACCTCTGCCTCTTGCACACACACCCCACCCACTGGGAGCTCAGACTCAGCTGGTGCTGTTGTTCTAGTGTCAGGTGGGCTCTCTGTTAAGAGGGTGAGTTCAGTCCACCCACTCACAGCCCACCTTCACAGGCCTCATCTACATCCTACTCAAGTACATGGTGGACCGGCACAACCTCTACTTCGTGTATCTGCCGGCCAAGCTGGAGAAGAGGCTACACTTCGCTGCCGTGAACCAGGCCTTGGCTGCACCCATCCTCTGCCTCTTCTGGCTCTTCTTCTTCTCCTTCCTGCGCCTGGGTGCGTGCCCTTATGAACAGGTTCAGCCCTCTGTCTCATAGTCCCACATCCACCGTGGCAGCCAGTCATCAAGTACTATGGCGCCCAGGCAAGGGCTGGGTGTGTGGTGTCCACGACCAGCACGCCAGCAGGTCCTCCCCAGACATGTACCAGGCTGAAGACAGCTCTCGGGACCGAGCCAAAGAAGGGAAGCTGGTCTAGATTGCTTTTAAGGGTGCTGGGTAGTCCTTGACTTCACTGTCTACAGTGTGAAGGGGATGGAAGAGGCAGAGGGCCAAGGACACTCAAGAAAACACAAAAAAGCAGAAGACCTGTGAGTCCCCTCCACTGCCAGCTGTAGGGACCCTATTCTGACTGCTAGATGAGGCTGGGCAGGGCTAGGGCTTGTCGGGGAGGGCTCACTCCCACAGCAGATAGCCCCACCCCAGCCCCAAGACCAGCATCTCTCTCCTCAGGTCTGCAGGCCCCTGCTACCCTGTTCACCCTCCTGGTCGTGCTGCTCACCATCCTGGCCTGCATGGCCTACACCTGCTTTGGCTGCTTCCAGCACCTCATCCCTCTGTACTACAAGGTACAGGATCCAAGGAGACCATGGTGTCCCCACCCCTTCCTGAGTCAAAACAAACAGCAGCAGCCCTCTCCAGATCTGCCCCTCCCTGGGAAAGGCAAGGGTACTTGGATGTGATGTGGCACTTCCCTCCCACCTCTGTCTTGCTCACTCACTCCAGCCCAGCTGGGAACTCAGAACCAGCTGGTGCTATTGTTCTGATGTCAAATTGTCCCTCTGCTTGGAGAGTGTGAGTTCAGGGAGATCACTTACTTTCATGGTGCACCTCTTCGCTGTTATCTACAGACAGAAGAATCTGCAATCCAGGAAAGAAGTGATGCAGAGGCCCAGGAGTCTCCACCATTTACAGTAAGCCGTGCTGCTTGCCCACTGCTTGCTGCCCTTGCTGCTCTGGGGGTAAAAGTCTCACGTGTCTGCCCATCCTTTGCTAAAAGAGAGGACCTCTGATCACAGAGCAGGCAGGCATGTTTCTGAATTAGTATCAATGGAGAAGGAATCCCCTCCTCTGAATCTTTTTTTTTTCCTTCAGCACTGGGCATCAAATTCAGGCCTTGAACATGCTGGCTTAGTGCTGCACCCCTCAGCCCCAACCTGGATATCTTAACCTTGTCATTCTTTGACGAGGTGACTAGTCTCTCCACTGTGTGCCCACTCTGAGGCCAGCCTCTACTAGCTTCTTTTTCTGCACTCCTGATGCTTGTGAGTTGAGGCTTTATCAGCATCCACTCAGTTGCCCTGTGGGGCCCTCAATGGTGCCAGAATGCTCCAAACAAACTCCTTGCTTTTCCCTGCCTCTGGCCTCTGGGGTCCTGGTCCTGGGAAGTGGGTACTAGAGTCACGGGATGTGAAGCTAGGATGGGACTGGCCTTCTCTGCAGTGTTCTTCCCAAGAGTCGAGCACGCTCATCAGTGTCCATCCCTGGGCAAGCCTCAGAGGACAAGGTCCTGGATCCTCAGGTCAGGGAAAAGCAGGACAGAGGGAGGCTTTAAACCCCTCTAGGAGGAGCATGGCAGGCTCAGGGCCCAGCCAGGCAGCTGCCACAGGGATTGGGAGGAAGCCCAGTGTAGACAGATTGGTTCCCTCTGTAAAGTGAAAGATTCTAAAATCCTGTGCTGGCAATTGGAGGAAGCTTCTCTGTTGCGTTGCCTTCTGTGTGATCACAAGGACTAGGACCAGGTTGTGGTGATGTGGTTTTCTGTGTCTCTCGGGCTTTTGGGAAGTTCTGTGGGTGGCATATGTTGGGTAGCACTAACTCCCATTTGCTGGCAGCCCTATGTGCCCCGGATCCTGAGTAGTCTGGCTTCAGAGAGGACAGCCTTGATAAACCTGCAGCAGCAGCAGACCTATGGCACCATCAGTGATATCAGTGGGAACCTTCCCATCCAAGACGTGTCCCATATCCCAGAGGAAAGTGTGATTCCTTCTACCACCGTGGCAAGCCATATGTGAAGTCACTGTCTTCAGAGCAGAGCTGATTGAGTCCCAGAGTGGGACCAGCCTGCCAGTGGACCCATGCAGGAAGTGAACCCCCTTCCTGGACTCCCACTTCCAGATCTACCACTTCAACAGTCTCCAGAATCTGAAGCCAAGATCATGTGGTGGGAGTTGTCTCCCAGATTGACCCTGAAGACGATGTTCACCATGGGGAGTAATATGACAAGGAAAAGTCTGAGTGTCTGCTCAAAGCAAGGGTGAGCACCAACCTATTCCTATTTTCCTATGGTTTCTGTGGTGCCACCCATGTTACTCTGCCATAGGCAGGGTCTGTGAAGACTGTTAATAAAGTACCTTTGGGAAAGTCCAGGGGGCAAGCATGTGAGGTTCCCATAACTGGTGGGTTAGGGTTAGCGTTAGGGTTAGGGTCAGGCCTGCTAGGAAGGAAGACAGTCTCTTCCATCCTTGAACTCTGTCTCCCACAAAGCTCTGAACTTCAGTCCATAAGGCTCCTCTCTGCAGCCTTCAGGGCTTGTTCTGGGGAAGAAGGGGATAGTGCCTTTTCATGGCCCTGTGGTCCACCCAGACTGCATGTCCCTGCATGGCAGTGCCTTGTGCCCCACAAGCATGACCCTAGCTCCCTCCAGTGTTCCAGCTGCAGCTGCTCCAAGGTAGGCAAGGATGGTGACATTTGTACCACTTCCCCTTGGGCTCCCCTAGCCTGGCAGGACCCCAGCAAAAACAACTGTCCCCTGGAAGGGAAACCCCATGTGGGTGGTTCAGGGTGTTCTTTGTCATTTTGTTCTAGTGGCTCTGAGAAGTGACTCACTTTCCATCCAAGCATGTGGCTTTGCAAGGGCCTGGGGTGAATGTGGGTCCAGCCTTGGCTCCTGGAGCTTAGAGTTGGGGCTTAGAGGCAGTGGCTCTAAGAGCAGGCGAAAGGGAGTGGTGGCTGGGGAGGCCATGGTCCATCTCACCAGTTGCGATCTCTCCGCCAGCGTCAAAAGCTTGTGGATGGCCTGGGACAGCAGCTCAGCCTTCTCCTGGGCAGGGAGATGGCCCCTGCAGGCTATGTAGGAGTAGGAGAAGAACTCATTCACCTCTAAGGAAGGGGAAGTAACTCACAGGGGAAATGAAGCCAATGGGTACAGAAACCTTCATCCAGGACCAGGATCAGTGGAGAGATCTAAGGATCACATGCAGCCATTCAGAAAGGGGCAGGCAAGGGCTTCCATAGCCTCCCATTCATGTCTTAATTGAAAGTTCCTTTTCTGGCAAGAACCTGGGCTAGCCTATAGTGCCCACATTGGCTGCCTTACTCCCAGGGTCTCCCCGGAGACCTGGAAAACCTCAGATTCCCTCCCTCCTCTGCCTGAGTTACAGGTCCAGCTGCCCCTTTGCTCCTGGCCAGACTTCCCACTAATGCTCTAGTTTATCAGACCTTGGTTTAGGTTCTCTTTGTAGTAGCCCATGGAGGAGATAGATTATGGCCCCTGTCATCCAGTGGACCATAATGTTGATGAGTAGGTCATCCAGGAAGAATTCCTAGAAAGTGAGCAAGAGGCCAGACTGAGGCAGAAACAGAGTACAGTAGACAGACTGCTGCTTTGTCCCAGCCCTGCCATTGTGAGTGTCATATCTTGGCAGAGACAGGCACCCTGATGCAGAGTGCTCCTCATGCATTTTAAGTCAAGGAGTCCCCTCAGTGGTCTAGGAGGGCACACTACTGTCATCTCCACGATGCTCCACCCAAGTACTTTGGTCAGGTCACCACTCCCCAGCCCCACTTGTCCTCTCCACTTGAGCTCCCATAGGGGTCTCTGCCAGCACCAATTACCACGGAAGCCCAATTCTGAGTTCCAGGTTTCTGTGGGATGCTGAGGGACTTTTTGGCTCATTAGAGGCTACCCAACTTGGAGCTTCTGGAAGAGAAGGAGACACAGCCTCTGGATCTCCCTCAGTCTATGTGCCCAAGCTGGAGAAGGCAGTGAACCAGGGGGCCACAAGTCAAGGACCCAATCATGTTACTACAGAGCCCTGGGACTCTTGACTGTTTACACTGTACCTGCCTCTGTATTTCCTCTGATAATGAACAGGAGAATGATACTTGCAGAACAGGTAAAGTATGGAAGGAACTCTGATACAGAATTCAGGCCCATCGGTGACAGCCTAGTGAGTCAGATGGTGGGAACTCCAGGTTCACCCCTGTTGCTCAGTTACTAAGTCAACTGTTCTCTGGAGCTGAGGCTCTGAAGAAACATCAGGCTGGGCTCCTGCCTGAAGGAATAAACCTAGGGCCTAGAAGGGAGACTGAGTTGTGAGACACTAGCAGACAGAAGATAGACATGGCACAGGGACATGTTTTGCCTGGAAGCTGGGGAAGGCTTCTTGGAGGAGGTGATCTCTCCAGAGCCATGAAAGGATAGACAAACCAGAGAAGTAGACTGGCTTGACAAAGGCAGTAGGCCTGTTGCTAGAAGAAACCTCACAGGCTAGGCCTAACCTCCTTTGGGGGCTAGGCCTGTACTACATCCTGAGAAGGGAGGATGACAAGGCCAACCTCTGCCTTCAAGGAACCAGGAGTTCAGAGAGGGGCTGGTGAGCCATAACTGTAACCCCATTATATGGCATTTAGCAGTAATTATAGCCCCAGAGCTCAGGACTCTGACTACTCTTCTCACCTGCTAGTGTGCTCACTTGTGGCTTCCTGCCACCCCAATGCCTGAGAACACAGTCCATGGCAGCCTCAACACAAACCCACCCATGCATTCTATTCCAGTATCCAGTGCCTTAGAGAGTCCATACCTGGGTGTGTCCAAGTAGGCAAAGGCTAGCCATTGTCCCATATCTTCCTTGCTACCCTCTTTGAACATATGTAAGCCTTCCATAACTGTCTTGGCTGCAGTCCAGTTTTTACTGACCTAGAGGCCATGCTGACTCTTTGCCCTGGGCTTTGAGTTCCTCCACCTGATCCAGCCCTTGACCCACATCTGCTGGCCACCTTTTGCCTTCCATACTCTTAACTGTGTCTCACGTTGTCAAGAAGTCAAAATGGACCTTTTAAAACTAATTTTTTCTAGCTTCATCATACCGAATACAGAAACTTACATACAGGGACACACACAGAGATATATACACATCCAGCCCTGGTACTAAGCAAGTTTCAAGGAACCAGATTTCAGACTTCCAGCTTTTCTGTGCCTTCTAAGGGATAGCACAAAGCCTAGCTGAGTTGCACTTTTACCCAGAGTTCATAGCTTCTGTGTTACCCTTCTATACCCTGGACATTCAAGGCACAGAAGGGTGACTAGCTATCCTCCCAATTTTGCTGAATTGTGGGTAAACTCATTTTTCCATTTGCATGGGCTTTACTCTTATAAATCCACTGCAAAGATGCAACTATGCACCTACTCTAAGCCTGCTCTTGCATTTCCTTGCTACAAGGTAGCAGAGGTGAGGACTAACCCATCGACCTGATCCTGGGAAAAAACAACATCTAGATAGAGAAGGGAGCAACCAGATCCCATGAATTTTGACATTAAGTCCAACAGTTCACTTGAACACCTGCTCTGTGGCCTATATCCATTAGAGGTCAGAGGATTGACTGAATTTCCCATCTACCAACAGAAAAAAGGACACACTTTAATATGAATGGTACTCACAGTCTGAAGGGAGCAGACAGAGAGATGTGATAAGGGCACTTCAAAAACTCATAGACCCTAAAGCTAGGTGGGGAAAATCATGGCTTGAGGGATCCCAATACCACTCGTTAAAAAACACAGAAGTTTTTCCTTTGACTCAATCTTTTTGTGGATTTTTAAAAAATTTTATTTAAGGAGAAAAAGAAAAAAAAAACCAGAAAAAGCATACAAATTTTACAGAATTTCAGAAAAAATAAACAGTAGGAAATCAATAGTTAATTACATATTGTAATCTTAGAAATGGTTGTTGAAGTTACAAAATTAAAGCATATAGAGGGGACTTTCAGACAGTGAGACTGCAAACAGTTTTGTTCAATGATCCAATAAAACTTCAGTAATATGGTTATCTATCTTATACACTTAAATATATATGCAGTTATATCTTTTAGAGAACTTTCTTTTCCTTTCTTTTGTACAATGACAATCACACATTTTGGGTTTTATTACTCCCACAGTTCTTATTACTTTTTTTTTTTGAAGAAAGTAAAACCAAATGTGACATACCAGGACAGAGTCAGTCAAATCAAAAGGATGGACATAATACATAATGTAAAAACAAAATACAAGGTGATCAACAATGGTTACCATAATGCCTCTTGTTATCTTAAAAAGAATTGCCTATATCATCAGTTATAATAAAATTGAACAAAACAGTAAAGAATAAGACCAATAAAACCAAAACATTGGAGACATTAGAGGACTTCAAAAGAAGATAATAGTCAACCAGAATGGGCATCATAATGAATCTTATTGTCTTCATAGTTGTTGCCTATACTTTCAAACTTGGTACTATCAAGCATAACAGAATAGAGGAAAATCAGTCAAAAAAAGATGGTGAGAGCAATATAGAGTTTCAAATCAAGTTAATAGGAAATCAAAGTGGGTTACTATAATATATCCTGCTGTTTTTTATTTTCCCCTTAAAAGGATAAAAATGAAAAAGTAGATTAAAAAAAGGAGATGGAGATAAAAAAGAGGGCATAACAACAAAACAGCACAGGTCAAAACATAGCCATTTAAGCAAAATAGTGTTTCACTACAAGACAATCTCAACATAATTTTAGTTACCATAGTGTCTCTTCCTTTAAAATCTTTGGGTATAACTTCCTATACTGTAGCATCAAACTTATCAAGACAATGTAAAACCATTCAAGAGAATGACAGTATTACAGGGTATTTAGAATCAACTAACAGAAAATGAACAATGGTTTCTGTATAATCTCCTTGTCTATAAAAGTTTTTGTTTATATTATCATATATAATAAAATCCAATAAGATACAACACGTTAAAAGTGATGGAGACAGAAGAACAAAAGCTTGATGGGACTTCAAAACAAGAGGATATTAAATCAGCACTACCTATTATGATGTCTTGTTTTCTCCAAAATGGCTGTTCCTACCATCCAGTCTTCTCTGCCTCATTTCTGTTGAGCTCTTTTTCTGTCATTAGTTGTCAGTTTGTCTTCTTCATTTCACTTTCTGCTCTATTCATTGTGGCCTCTTTGCCACTGTTTCTGGAATCTTGGTATTTTTCTTTTTTTAGAATGTCCTGCAGTATTCTCTGTAGAGTTGAATTGGTGGTTGCATATTCCCCTAGTTCCTCTTTATCCTGGAAGCACCTTGTTTTTCCATCAATTTCCAGGGACAGTTGTGCAGGATATATCAATCTT